TCAAATGTTTATATCTTTAAAAAAACATGACTTTTAAAGACATAACATTAACCTCAAAGACTTTTCCATGTTACTATGTAGTTTTTTTTTAAGATTTTATTGGGGAATTGGGGGAGGGGAACAGACAAGTTGCTGTCCTTTCGTTCTTCAGTCTAGCTGTGGAGGACGTTGCTTCACTGGCCCATGTTGGTATTATCATTGCACTCTTCCCGGGTGAGGCAGTCACTCACTGGCCATTGGACGGCTGCTCACGTCGGCTGCTGGCCGCTCACGCTGGCTGCCAGCCAGCACAGGCTGCAGCCTATGCCATCGCTGGTGACTCATGGCAGCCCAGCTCCAGGTTGAGCTGTTGATCACCATCTTAGCTGTAGAGGGTGCAGCATCACTGGCCTTCATGTGAGATCTGGACCTGGGCCCTGCTGCTCAGAGCTGGCATCCCAAACCAACTCTTAACCAACACACCACTCAGCTGGCCCACTATGTAGTTTTAATTATCTTTTTATTTATTTATTTATTTAAATTGGGGAATTGGGGGAGGAGAACAGCGCTGGGGAATCAGGGGAAGGGGAACAGACAAGTTGCTGTCCTTTTGTTCTTCAGCCTAGTTGTGGAGGATTTCGCTTCACTGGCCCATGTAGGTATTATCATTGCGCTCTTCCCAGGTGAGGCAGTCGCTTGCCGGCCATTGGATGGCCGTTCATGGTGGCTCACGGCAACTCACGGCAGCTCATGCCCACTGCTGCCCAGCCCCATTGCAGCCTAGTCGTTGCCAGCGACTCATGGCAGCCCAGCTCCATGATGAGCTGTTGTTCACCATCTTAGCTGTAGAGGGCAGCATCACTCATATGTGGGATCTGAACCGGGGCCCTGCTGCTCAGAGCTGGTGTCCCAAGCCAGCTCTTAACCAACGGGCCACTCGGCCGGCCCAATGATCATTTTTTAACACTTGTGCAATTTTTATTTTTAATTGTATTTTTATATAAACAATTTATTTTAATTGTATTTTTATTGTAATTGTGTTTAAAAATACATAACATCAAATTCACCCTGTTCCCTATTTTTAAGTGGACAGTTCAGCAGTGTTAAATAGATTCACGCTGTGCAGCTGCACAATTTGGGTGTCAGTTTACTAACCTTTCTTTGCGTTGGACGTGGAGGTGAAGACTTCCATTTCTGCCTGGGTGCAAGCATTCTAGACATGCAGCTCTGAGGTTCACACAAGTCAATGGAAGGCACTTAGTTCATTTACTAGAGTGGAGATAGACATGGAATAGGCGAGGCCTTCACTCCTTCCCAAGGTGGCAGCACTTCTAGAAAGTATCTCGACATAGCCGAGGGGTTAGGGGCTGCAGAGCCCGTGGGCCCAAAGCAGCTGACGCTGTTGGGGTGAGGGTACTGGCGGGGTGAGGGTGCTTGGGGGAGATGGGCCTGGGGCTGCCCAGTGATGCAGCGGTACCTGGGGCAGCCCTGACAGCTTACAGCCCCGCCGTGTTAGCGCTCAATGACATGCTGAAGCAGCAGCTGAGCCTGACGCAGCAGTTCATCGAGGCTAGCAGGCACCTGCACGGGTCCCTTCTGCAGTCCCTGGACCAAGACTCGTACCACTACCACACCTTGGAGGAAACCAAAGAGGTGAGCGCAGCAGCACAGCTATCCCTTCCCAGGGGAGGGAGGGTCGGCAGGCCTCTGACTGTGGGGACAGCACCCAGCCCAGGGCAGCAGGGTCGCCAGGGCCCAGTCGCCTTCTGTCCTAGAGGAAGGAGCCAGTTGGAAGATGGGGACACCGACAGCCAGCCTGGCCTGCGGTGAAGCTGGTGTGGCACTGAGTGACCTCAGTCCAAAGGCAACCTGCTTGGTGAGAGGTGCTGTCTCTCCATAGACCCTTCCCCAGCACTGCCCCGCTGGGGTCACTCTTCTCAGTCTCATGGGCAGAAGCTTTCAACACCCCTCTTTTTTTCCCTCCAAAAATTTCATTTTTGTCTGATTACACAAAATGTTATTTTATAAAAACTTTATTACAGAAATATAACTATTTATAAAGTCCTCCATAGTTTCAGAGATTACTATTACCAACTTGATATACTTTAGATTTTTCTTATGTAAAATATGAACTATGTGTATGTACAATATATAAAGTGTATCACAATAGGTATATGTATTATATAATGTGTATTTCTCTATAGAAATAGCATAATACTCTTATGAACTTTTCTGCATGATTTTTACCTACCAATGTTTCAGTATATATTTCTAAAAAATAAGGACATTTAAAAAATAATCACAATACCATTATCATACCAAACCCAATTAACTTTCCTTTGTATTGTTGGCCAATCCAATATGCAGATTTCCACTCGTCTCATAAAAGTGGGACATTTTGTTTCTATTTTCTCATCAGGATCCAGACAGTTTGTACATCGAGATTATGGTGCTCTTTTTAGCCTCCTCATCTGGAGTGGTGGTTCAGCCCTGAGCAGTGTCAGACCCCTGAGGCTGTGACTACCCAGGTTCTATTGGCAGTCTCACTTACTCCCATCTCCTTTTCTTGCAGTTCATTTGTTGTCAGGAATCAGGTTGTCTGACAGCCTTCCACATTCTGGACTTTGATGATTGTACCCTGTGGGGTCCTTTAACTTGCTCTCTGTTGGACGCCTATCAGTTAATTGGACGCAGGCTGAGGTGATCTGTCGCCCGCCCACAGCCAGCCCACCACGGCTCCTTGTGTCTGCTGTGGATCCACATCCTGAGTGGCACCCAGGCCCTCCTCCCCGATTGCGGTCACTCACCCTTTCAGACTCAGCCAGGGCTCAAGTCTCATTTCCACAGCATTGTCACATGGCATCCTGTCATTTTTTTGTTAGCCTGACCAGGAGCCACTGGGGACAGGCACCACCTTTAGCACCCAAAGCTCAGTAGGCTGAGGCGGCAGTGGTGACACATCCCTGTTTGTCCTCTGCTCCACAGTACATCAGGCACCACCGGCCCGCCCCGCTGACCATGAAGGATGCTCTGGAAAAAGTGAACAAGGAGCTGTGAGCGCCAGGTGAGGCTAGACTGATGGGTCTCATCTAATGAGCTGGGCCAGTGTACTGGCTGACACGTTAGTGGCCAGGGGACATTCAGTGGGGAGGGGGACAGGTGGTACCCAGTACTCACCTGGGTGGAATCCAGCTCCCACCTTTTCTGAGTAGTTGATCTCTCCCAGCCCCCAATTCCTTGGTGTGTCCGGCACCTGAGAATAACCACAGACCAGTGGAAACGGAATGCAGGTGGCGCTCCAGTACCACTCATGGCAGGACAGAAGATGCCAGCTTGTCAGGAGCCCTGCGGAGCAGCTCCACCCAGCCAGGCTCTGGCTTCCCCAAGAGCCAAGGTAGATGGGGGTATGAGAAGCACCCCGTTCCCTAACGAGGACACAGGGCCAGGGGTCCATACTGAGGACTCCTGTGTGACACCAGGCAGCTTCTGATCTTACCCAACTCAGAGCCTGCACTCAGACACACCTCCCTACTGAGCCTGAGCATGTTTCTGACGTCAACACACAGAGAAAACAGTCTTTAAAAAAAGTCTTTATTTGAAGGCAAAACAGTAAAATCCACAAATTGTTAACAGCACATGTTTATGCTTTATCCTGAAACAGATGCGTTTAAACAATTCACAGCTACAGGAAACCCAGAACAAAATCAAATATTTTATCACACCAGGCTGAAAAGTTGGAGAGGATTTTGAATCTTATCGAAAAGAATTTTTCAAAAATGTTTCTGTACAAATAAAGGGCACCGCACCCTGTTGCCCATGGATGCCAAGTGTGGCTGATCCCAGCACGGTCACCCCGTGGCGCACTCCAGGCCTCACCCCTTGTGGTGGTGGTGCGGGGGAACAGGAAAAGGAAGTGACAGAGCAGGAGGCATGGCCGGTGGCTGCTCCCCAGGCTGTGGGTCTAAATGGGCTGTCGCACACCAAGTGCTGGTGTTGGGGTTCCTCTAAGTGAAAAACACAAGTAGATGCTCAGGGTACAGATCCCCCAGGGGCATCACACCGTGACCTGAAGATGCTTCAGATCCGTCTCCTTAGATCCTTTTGTTTCTGCAGATAATAGTAAATGGCTAACGTTCAAAAAAAAAATTCAACTTAACTAAAATAATTGAACTAAGGGGCCAGTACGTCTTGGAGGAATCAAGTTTGAAATTTTCTCACTGGGGCTCTTCTTAGATCAATATTCGTTTTTTAAAAACTCAACCAATTGGAGTAAAAATGAAAACCCTGTTTAATTTTGCAAATCAAGGTTTTGTCTTTCTGTTTGTTAAGAGTGAGCAGTACTGGTGCCTGGCCTGAGCTGTCACGACACATCCGGTGGGTACAGGAGGTAGAGCTGGCCCGCTGCACCCCTAGTCTGGACGGTGGGCGTGCTCACCCAGGGCCGCCTCCACATTCGCCTGCTGGTTTAAGCAGAGGCTTAGGTCTGACTGGGGAGATGCGAAACATCCGTTCCTTCAGGTATCGAGGATTCTTGTCTGGGTTGAGGGGTTCATGTTTCTCACTTCACTGTCCAAGGGTTGAGCTCAGGGTGTCTTGTCTCCTCAATCTTGCTTCTACGTTAGAACTGGTTTGCAGGTGGGGCCTGGGCCTCCCATGTGGTCGAGCATGGCACTGGTCACTAGGCATGCTATGGTTGTCCTCCTCTTCTGTTGCTCCCCAAAGATGGAGGCTGTGTGAGAATCAAGCTGTCCCTACCCTTTTCCACGGCCACGAAGGTCCCGACGGCCAAGCTGCCGTCGGCTGGCATGGCTCCTCGCCGCACCTACTTGCACTCTTCCCTGGCCTTCATGCGGGCGATGAAGGAGTAGCTCTTGTTCCTGCGGTAGTTCTCGTACGGGTCGTCCAGGGCCACACCCACGCCCTTGTACTGGTCCCACTTATCCCGCACGTCCCCGCCCTTGATGGGGTCCTGGATCCCTTGTTCTTTTGCGCCGAGGCCGCCAGATCCACTCCAGCCTTAGGAAGAAAGAGGGGTGAGTGGTTACAACCCACGAAAGCTGAAATCTGGTAACTTTACCCTGACACAAAGTTAAACAGGAAAGCATACGGGGAGGTAAGTGAGTAACGTGCAGACATGCGTTTTATAAACGTGAGGCTGATAAAAGGAAGACAGAATGCGCGGCAGAACCCTGCAGGCTTGCCCTTTTGCGAAGATCCCATGCTGAGATGGAACTTCCTCTGACTGCATCAGCCCGACCCGCGAGCCCACAGCAGGTCGTTCATTTCCCTGGAAGCTTACCCATTTTCACCAGCATCTGATGTCCTTTGTTCTCTTCCCCAAGCCTGGAGTCAGGTATAGGAGGTGCTGAATTAGAACCCAGACCAGCCGAGGAACTAAAATTAAGACAGGTAACGTCTCTTAAAAAAGAGCTGGTACATTTATTAGAATGAAAGCTCTTAGAATATTACAGCGGGCGGCTTATGTGAACCGTCACAGTGTAGGATGGACACACACACACTTGTGTCTACCATTCTTCATCCTCTTTGCCAGCCAGATAAGGGGGCTCCCTAAGATGATGGCCCCCGTCCAATACTGCACAGCAAGAACAGATCATATTGAACCCCTAAAATGGTTAGAAACACAGAGCCCAGCCACTGCCTCGGGCTTTACAATGTGGCCATAGAAAGAAAAGACCACGGTGTGAGGCAAGGCGGTGCCACTGTCACCGCGCTAGTGCTCGGGATGCCTAAGGCGCCGACCCAGCACGGGCTACCTCAGCACGTCTTCTAATGAAACGTTTCAACATTCACAGCATAGCCTCAGAGGTTCCAGTGCTACCAGCGGGTCAGTGGACAGTTAAGACAGAAATCTTACGGCGGGGTGGGGCTCCTGGACCGCGACCGAAGCCTCCTCCCTGGGGAGTACGACTTGGACCTGGAGCGGGAACGGGACCTGGAGCGGCTTCTTGAGGAGCAGGATCGGCTGCGGCTCCTGCAGGAGTCGACAGGGAAGAGCCCGCGGGTCAGCCCGACAGCTGGAGGCCTCAGGCCCGACTCCCCGAGAGGCGGTGCCTGCCTACCTGGAGCGGGAGCGGGAGTACGAGCGGGAGCGGGAGCGGGAGCGCGACCTGGAGTACGAGCCCGACGACTTGGAGGACCTCGAGTTGGAGCGCGAGGAGGAGCGCCCTCTGCTTTTGGATCTGCTCCGAGACCGTGAGGGTCCACTGCAGGAAGAGACGGGTGAGCTGGAGCTGGCAACTCCCAACTCCCCACAGGCCAGCCCGCCACCCCCACTCCAGGTTTCGGGGAGCCCTCAGGGATGACAGGGTACAGACGCGTAGGGTGTTGTGCCTAAACAGCTCGGTGAATACAGATGGCAGCAAACTTCTCTTGTGCTGGTGTTTTTAAGTTTAAACTCAGGCTTGTGGGAACAGCTCCCGGCGCCTTTATCATAGGCGGCCAGACCTAAGACCCAGGCAGAGGCTACACCCGACTTCCTCTGCCTGTGCGTGGGCATGACGTGACGTGTTAGGGCATGACAGGACAATGTGTCTGGGTCACTCTAAGCCAATTCATGACAAGATGTGGCCAGGGAGGCATGGTGACTCCACACGAGATGGTGGGGATGTCCTCACCTGTTCCTCTTTTCCTGGCCTTTCCTCCGTCGTGCCCGCATTTTTGCTCGGAAGAACTCATACAGGCCGTTCTGCTCCCAGCCTTCACTGTTAAGACAGGAGCGAGCCCCACATGTCCACATCAGCCTCCCTCCCACAGGGCACTGGGGAAAGCTTATCAGGGCTAAGTGCCACCAACAAGCCTTCCGAGGCGTGCAGCCTCCCCTTCCTCATTCACTCAGGATGTCGCGTGCTGGCCACCAGATAGCACTCAGGTGGTCATTTCAACAGGGCCACCCTTTCACTTGAGGAAGCACACAGGCCAGACCACTCGCTGGGCAGTGAGGTTGGGATGTGTGCCCGGCTCCACCAGGCTCCCAGGCCTTTCCACACTGCCATTTTGAGAAACAGACAAGGATAGTCTTAGGGCCTGTGGTCACTGCAACTGGGGACCAGGAGCTCTGGCTCACAGACAGGCCCACCTGCGCCCAACAGGAGGCCATTTTAGCTGGGATGGTGATGAGGCCGTTGGGGGAGGGGATCCTGAGAAGGACCCGTGACAAAGCCTGGGTGGGTGGCAGCCAGCAGCTTCTGAAATGTGCCACATCTAAGTTCTTGTTCTAATGTGACCTAACTAGTAAAGCCCTTAATTGAGGGCGACTATGTGTGACGCACATCGCACACAGCCAGGGGAGAAACGGACCCTCTAACTGGGACTGGAGAGTTCTCTTAGAGACACCACACTCCTCACCTGGGCCTCACACCACTATGGGCAGAAGGTACGGCTGGCAGGAAGAGTCTTTCTCGTGAAGCAAACTCGGGAAGACCAGGCGCTCAAGGGGACAGAGACTGCCCTGCCATCACTGGCCCCACTGCCAGGTCTCCCTGAGCCCAGTACCTACCTGTTCCTGGGCCTGTCATGGGAGGGAGGGCTGTAAAAGGCCTCCACGGCCGCCAGCAGCCTCTCGCTGGGTGGCATGGGGGGCGGAAGGCGGATGTCTTTAGGGTCCAAAGGCTTGTACTCATGGTCTTCCAGCTGCAGTGGAGAACAGTTGTTACTACACCTTGCTGGGGTCTGTGAGGCCCACCCAGGGTGCTGCGGGGCAAGAGACAGGGCCCTCCCTGGTTTGGTGTTCGGGTTGCCCTGGGCACCGGAGTGCTCACCCAGCCCTTCCTGGAAGGCCCACCATCTTGTAGGGCTCCAGCCACATCCTAAATGAGGTGGTTGAGGGCTCCTTTGGATCCTAAATGACCTGTCTGCAAAAGCCGCCCTGAGCCCCTGAATCCTACTTGGGGCTGTGCTATCTCCCCTGCGGGCCCTCCCAGTCATAGCAACCTTAGCCCAACCCAGGAACCCCCTCCCAGGAACCAGCTCATGCTGCCAGCCCTCTGCCGCCAGCTCTCCCTGCCACCCTAGCAGACCCATCTCATCACTTCCAGTCTGTGGTGACTCAGAGGGCATGGGCAGGGGCAGTGACCAGCACGGTCCCTGGAGCCCCAGCTCACCTGACTCCTTGCTCACCCTGCCCCTCACATGCCCTTCTTCCTGCGCCTGCAGATCCCCATGTTCCCACAGGCACAACTCAGAGGCTGTCCCTTTCCTCTGCCATCAGCCCCAGGACAAGGGAGCTTCCAAGGTCTGGTACTGAGAAGAACCGTGCCTCATGCCCAGCACCAGCCTGCCCCAAGTAGCACCAAACTCGCAGCACCAGGAGGGAGGGGTGGATGGGACACTGGCCTCACTTGTTGCCGCTTCAGGAGCGTAAGCATGTGTCTGAGGGAGGGACGCTAGCTCAGGCACATTCTCACTGACTACCTGGGTCAAGTTCACCGGGGATAGGAAATGAGAAGGGAAGGGGCCCGAGGAAGCAGCGTTTTATAGCCTGTGGGAAATGGGTTGCAGCTGTGAACTTTTCACATGGAAACAAAGGCATACCCAAGCTCACTGAACACCTTACCTTCACGAGGGGGGCCATCAGCCCAGCAGGGAGATCAAAGTAGGGTACGTTGGGGACCAAACTGGGGTCATCATGGTTGATGTGGGGAGGGCCCTGTCGCCGCATGTGGGGGGGCTGCCCATTGAAGCCATGGGGAGGAGGGCCAAAGTCAGGGTGCTGAGGGCCCCCCCAGGGCGGGTGCTCATTGATCCCAGGATGTGGCATGCGGTGGCCAGGGTGGTGGTGAGGGGGTCCCATTTCTGCAAAACAAGAACTTGTCTCAGGCCTGCAGGGAAGTCGTGAGCACGGCAGCCTCAAGGGGTCAGGCCTGCTTTCCAAGGTGACAAGTGCCAGCAGAGTGGTCCTCAGAGAGGGGCAAGGACATCAAAACCCACCTCCTGGGCACCCACCCCCCCCTTGGCAGCTTCTCTCCCCCTGCTTCACGCACTGCTCAGGTGATACAGTGAAGGGGGAGGAGCTGAGGCCTAGAGGGGCCTGTCCTGCACCTGACAGACCTCGTGGGTGAAAGAAGGAACCACAGGGAAATCAGAGAACCCCCAGGCAGCAATGTTCTGGGCTGAACTGTTGACCCCCACACATTCACCCCCAGTCCTGACCCAGCCCCCGACCTCAGAATGTCACTGTATTTGGAGATGGGGCCTTTAGAGAGGCGATTAACTTAGAGTGAGCGCATATGGGTGGGTCCTGATCCAATATGACTTACAAGAAAAGATCAAGACACAGACACACAGACGGAAGACCATGTGAGGACACCGGGAGACGGCAGCCGTCTACAAACCAGGGAGAGGCCTCAGAAGAAATTAACCCTGCCAACACCTTGACCTCAGATTTCCAGCCTCCACACTGGGAGACAATAAATGTCTGTTATTGGAGCCACCCAGTCTGTGGGACTCTGTCACAGCCACCCCAGGACACTAACATAAGCAGTAAATGTGCTAAATGGTCTCTGGGCTGAGTTTATAGCCAAGGGTGGATTTAAAAATAAAGGTAGAAGCAGTAATAGTGTAGGAATGAAATTTTTTTTGAACAGAGAAAATAAAAAAAACTAAAGATTGTTTGAAAAAGATAATAAAGTAGAGAAGTTGATGGAAAGTGCAAACCAAGGAACAGGGAACCCCCATGACGGCGGAGCGGGCTCTGGACTCAGTGCCTGCTGACTGCCAGCCACTCTGGGCACTTGGGGGTCACTTCTCCTTTTGGAGCCTGTATTCCCTTACCTGTAGGACAGACACTGCCCTATTCCTGGGTGTGTGGGACAAGGGGCCAGGGTGTCACACCTCTACAGCCTGGTGCATGGCTGGTGCTGACACCTGAGTCACCAGCCTGTTTGCCTGTCTCCCCACCTTCCTGAGGACCCCGGCTGGGTTTTTCCATCATTCCATGACTCTGCCTGTGACCTAGACTCAGAGCATATCAGGTGCATACCAAGGACCGCCAGCAAAGCCAAGGATCTGTCAGGTGCCTCCTCCAGGTGGGCGACCTAGACTTCTCCGGGAACCAGGGGCAGGAGAGGGCTGTTATGTATTGGGCTGCTGACCATCCCCTCCAAGGCCACCACATACTCACCAGCAGGGAAGTCCCCCTGGGGGTAGTCAAAGCGGTGAGGATAGGGTGGCCGCTCGAAGGGGTGCCTTGGGGGAAAGTCATCCTGCATGAAGCGGGGCGGGAAGCGGTTGAAGTTGTGGGGGTGCGGCGGCTGGTTGAACTGCGGGTGCTGCTGGTGGGGCGGGAAGGGCCCTCGGAAGTGCGGTGGCCGCTGCATGCGGAAGGGCGGCTCGCGCTGGCCACCACCCCAGGGCGGCTGCTCGTGCTGGCTATTCCAGGGGCCTTCGAACTGGCTGTTCCAGTTGGGGTCGGGCTGACTGTTCCAGGGTGCATCGCGCTGGCCATTCCAGCCAGGGTCCCCGCGCTGCTCTCCCCACATGCCCTCGTGGCTGTTGTTCCAGGGTGGGCAGTGAGGAGGTCCGCCTTGGTGGTGTGGGTAGGGGGGCTGGTCCGGAGGCTGCAAAAACAAACAGCAGACATGAGCCACTCATGAGGCCCACCCAGCACCCTGCAGACATCTGGCCTCTGCACTGCCCAGTGCTGCAGGGTGACGATCCACTGGGCGCTACCCTGGGCAGGCAGGCCATGGTACCTCATTTACACTGACGTGTGCAGTGGATGCTGTGGTGCCCACCCCACCCGCGGCCCCTCACACCTGTGCAGATGACCCGACTCCCAACTGCCACACCTGCATCTTGGCTGAGGGCTTCCTCTGGGTCAGCACACGGGCCCCACAAGCTGGGGATCTGAACACTCCTTGCCCCATCTCCCCTTGGTGGATGGTGCAGAGGTGCCTCCCCTACCACTTCTGGAGTGTGCAGAGTGGCTGAGCCCCAGGGGCCCATGGTAGCCACGCACCCTGGTGATGCCCTTTCCGTCACTTCTCCCCTCCCCTGTGCTGTTTCCTGGGTCATCTCCCACATAAACTACTTGCCCTCAAATCCTGTCTCAGGGTCTGCTCCTGGTCCCATCCCAGGAAATGTGTTTTTTTGTAGGCTAAAGACAATTTAAGCTCCCGTCTCACCCAGCTGCTGCTTTGAAGACTTAAAGCTAAGACTGCAACCAAAACTCAAGGCCGGGCAGGAATGTGCCCAGATAAGGCAGACCAGAGATTCCCATCTCTAGGGTCATGGCTAGCTCTGCTGACTGCTACCATCAAGAGGCGGGTCCAGGCCACCACACTGTCAGGTCTTTCAAGAGAAGCCAGGAAACCAGGTCTTAAATATGGCAACTATGTCAAACTGTGTTAAGATACAACATGGGCCAACCAGGCCAAGTCCATCGGCAGGCCACAGCTTCCAGCTGTGGATTGCCAACCCAGGGCAGACCCTTGGTGAGGGGGCCCCGTTGTTGTGAGCCTTCCAGTCATGCTATGCTGGATGAGATGACCCCTGCTCTGGCCTAAAAGTTTCTGACGCCAAGGAAATGGGAGTAAGTGACCAGTGTCTCAGCCCCAGAAAATGCTGCCCACCTGACATTTCTGACCTCACCCTTCCTTATGAAAGCACCGTGTTTCAGGGTGACAAGGTATTGATACTTTGCTAGTCGAACCAGTCAAAAAAGAGAAGGAAAGGGAACGCTCTGCTATACTTAATCGTGTAGAATTTCCTAGTACTCACAGGAAAATGGCGATAAAAGTGCCAGGAAAGGAAGTAAAGGCCTGACTTTTTTGCTCTACCCAATCCCTGCACCTTGGGAAGATGAGGCTAACACCCTCTCCCCAAGACCTGACCCCGCTGCAGAGCCTCAACTCTCCCAGCAAGCTGCTAAAAGCTCCCTAACCCGCTGAGGCTGCCGCCCACTTGCCTCCCATCCCATTAGGCCCAAGCATGCTCCACCTGCCCCTGTAAGAAATACCTGCTGTTGGCCCCAAGGAGCAACGGGGTGAGGCTGGTCAAACCATGGGGGCTTGTTAGGTGGGATCTGGTCGTGGGGCCCGGGGCCACGGGGGCCAGCAGCAGCAGGGTCTTGGACCCCTCCTGAGGCATCGTACTCGGAGGAGCCAGGCATTTGGATGGGAGGCTTGTTGTCATCTGGAGCCAAGCAAAAGGGCTATTAGCAGAGACCCTGGCAGCAGGAGGCACCACCCAAAACGGTCTTCAGCAAACACCCGGGCAGCCCAGGCTGAGCTTTATTTCCCAATAAATCCTTGCTTCATGACCCCACTGATCGCTGTTGGGAAGACAGCGGGAAGAGGGGAGGCTGCCCTCGCACAGGACACACACTTCTTCTCTGAAAGCTTTACAATAAGTATCTTATCTTCTGCCATGTTGATTTTAGTTTGCTGAGGAATCTTTATTATTGCTCAATTTCTTTAAATACCTTTTCTACATCTAGTTGCAAGGTCACTTCTTCTAATCTGATCTTATTTTATTAGATTTTTTTAGTGTTACTTTATTAGATTTTTTTAGTGTTGAACCATATATATTCCTGGGATATGCCTGTTTTGGTCATGATATATTTTTAAAATACTTGGCTGGATTTCATTTGTTAAGATTTTCTTTAGTATTTCTGCGTCTTTGTTCAGAAATAACACTGGATAATTTTTAAAAATCTTTCCCTAATTATATTTTTAACCCTTGCTCGTCTGACGTGAAAGTTATCCTGGTCTCGAAAAATGATTTGGGCAGCTTTCCCCTCTCCCTGTTCCCTGAGGCGGTTTGTACAGGAAAACTGTCTGAGTTGTAAGGGTTTCATTACATTTTGCTGTGAAATCCCCCGGTCTGGTGCTTTAAACCGAATAGAATCTGGCCTTGGACTATGGACTCAGAGCCCTTCTCGGGAAGAGGCTGCTTTCTGGGGCTTCTCCCCAAGGGCGGGTGCCGAGGGGCCACGTACCAGGTTGGGTGGTTGGCGGGATGGCCGGGGTGGGCGTGGGGGCCGGTGGCGGGGCAGGCGGCGGCGGTGTGGCCTTGACTTCAGCTTCCATTTGTGGCATCTGGATCTGCTGCTGCTGTTGCTGCTGCTGCTGTTGCTGCTGCTGGGCCAGGCTGTTGACGAACTCCTCGTGCTGCGTCTTGAGGGTCTGGATCTGCTGCTGGAAGGCCAGTTGCACTGGCTGGACCACTGAGGAGTACTCATTGATGAGGGTCGCCTGCCAGAGAGAAAGGCAGCAGGTATCAGCTTGACCACCTCGGGGCCCACCCCTTCTGGAGTAGCATTGGGACAAATGCTGGGAAAGCACCAGGAAGTTTGGGTGCTGCTGAGGCCGAGGCCCAGGGTTCTGAAGCTGGCAGGCAGGCGACTATCATGTAAAATAATCAACTTCGTCTTGACAACCAGAGCAAGTGAACCTAGCGAAAGACTTTTGGAGGCGTGCGGTAGTTTAGAATTCTCTGATAATGGAATCAGGCAATGACAGCCGTGCCCTGGGTAGCCACTTAGACTTTAAACACATCGTTGATGAACATTCTGGGACATGCTCATGGGCTGTGCTTACTTGCTGCCTGGCTTTGAGCAAGTCACCACCTCCCTGAGCCTCAATTTTCTCATCTAGAAAATGGGACAACATTAGGACTGACCTCTGAGGATTTCGGAGAGGAGTTAGTGAAATAATGTAAAAAAAGGAGTAAAATTTAGAAAAAGTATGCAATGCACTTTCCTTGTTGTTTCTGAGCATGTTCCTGTCCCCTGTGGGAAGGACGGCACTTAGGACTATTGCTGAGGGAAGCAGCCTACACACAGTGCCTGATACTCAGCCAGGCCTTCCAGCCTGAGAAGAGGTGTGAGCTGTGCCTTTCCAACAGCTGTGCATGGGGCAGTGATGCTGGTGCCACAGCAGAGGGGACCAAGGAGACCCTCCCTTCCCTGTGGCCCTGTCCTCTGGGCAGACACCCCCTCAGAGCAAAGGCAGACGTGCACATGGGGAGCACTGACTGCACAAGGTGACGGCCACAGCAGCCTAGATGACATTGGGATCCCCTCACGCTCCCATCATGTGAATGTGTGCCTGGAAGACCATAGCAAACAGGCCAATGACACCCCTAGAGCAGGGCTTAAATTGGGCACCAGGTCACAAATGCACCAAGAAAAAAGTCTCACTTGGGAGAGCTCACCCCTCACTGTGCATGCATGGGACGAGGCCCCTGAGGCTGCTGCTCAGACCCCGGCCTCCAACACTTGCTAGTATCCCAGAGGCACACCTGGAAGCCCAGCTGAGAAAATGCCACCTGGGCTCTGACATTACCACCCCACCAGCTGCTCCAACCCAGGAGGTGAAGGTGGGCCCCCTGACTTCTGGGAACTGCTGAGGTGGTGTCTGCCCTGGTGCTGGGGAGCTGCGTGGGAGGTGGTGGCACTTACATGGTACTGGCCGAGCCCCAGGGCTGGGCTCTGCAACTGCTGGATGATGGAGTCATCGAAGTAGCCATTCTTCTCCCACAGCTGCAGGAGCTGGACATGGGGAGGACAAGGCCGTGTCAGGGGGAAACAGCAACCCCCAGCCCCCGCCCACTTCCCTCGCCCCCTCTCAACAGCACCACTTACCCGGGCGATCTTTTGCTGCTTGTCCTCCTCCACGGCCAAGAAGCTGGTGCAGTAGATGGGCACCACAACCTTCTGTAGGGCGGCCAGCAGCTCCCTGGCCTGCTTGCGCTGGCTGTGAGGGAGAGACCTTCCACGCGTCAGGGCCCTGGGGCGGGACCCAGCCACGCGCCCGTTACCATCGCGGCTCCAGCCACAGCACCCTCTGCCTTCTCAGGGAATGGGCCCCCAACCCGGCTGGGACTAGGCCTAGACTCCCCATGAGACCTGTGCTGGCACTTGGGCCCGAGTGACAGACAGGCAGCAGTGGGAGGAGGGAAAGAACACAGGCTGGGGACCTTGAGCAAGGCCTGTAACCCTGGTCTCCTTGTCCTATAATCCTTCCCTCCTGGGGTGTGAGGATGGCAGACACGGGGCCTGTGAGCCCTACTGTCCACAAAGGACAGGCCAGGGCTATTGTGGGCTCAGGGCCTTGTCCATGTGACCTTGCTCAGCATTGTCACCCTCTGCACACAAAAAAGCTTGTGCTTGGGCCCCAAGTTGCAGGAGGCAGAGGGAGTGTGTTGAGTGTGCCTGGCATTGGGGACCTGAGGCTGGCAGGGCAAGGCAGTCTACCCCCACCCATTGTCCTCCCAGTGGCACTCTGAGCATAAAGGGGTATGGAGGCCCTTGTGGCTGTGCACTGAGATGGCACGGGGCCCCCCGTGTGGCAGTGGCAGAGTCTGGATGGTTGCCTCCTGGGGAAGGCCATGGGAGAGAAGGCAAGTGGCTAGAAGCCCTCTCAGCACCAAGCTCACCAGAGGGAGCTCAGGGACAGGAGCGAGTGCGCATGGCCAGGAAACAGGCCAGGGGAAGGAGAACAGTCCAGGCAGGACAGGGCAGGTGGCTGGAGGACTGGCAGGACAGGGCTGTCTCTGCAGAGCTGCCCTGGAGTCAGCAGAGCGGCAGGTGAAGCAGGAGGGCAGAGAAGGTTCCAAGAGGCTGCTTATTTGCCAACAGCAGAGAAATAAGAGAGCGATGATGCAGGGAGTGGCTGAGTGTGGCCCGGGGTCAGGAGGGCAGGGACCTGGGATACACGAGTGAAAGATGGGGCAAGGCGAAGGACTGATGGGGGCAGGTCAGTTTCTGCTGCCCTCACGGGTGCTGTCCTTCAGCTAGTCAAGCTCAAAGCTAAACATGGCAGCCACACATCAGCCTCACTAGCACTGCGCGTGCTTTGCCTGTCTCCTCCCTGGGCCTGCCTTGGCCTAGGCATCTGGTTCTTTAGGTTAACCTTTCTCATAAGGCACCAAAGAAGTCATGCAGAAGGAAAGACCGGCCTAGCCTGGAGAGGGCAGAGAGAGTGGGAGGCTGGTCTCGGTGGGACAGGACAAGAGGGTCAAAAAGGAAACACTGGAGGGACCCTAAAGCAAGGCAGTGAGGTGATTGGGAACGTGTATGTGTATCAGTAAGGGGGAGCTGGCAGCTAACAGAGAAACACTAAAAGACATGAGCAGCTACCCCAGGAGAGCAGAGCAAGGAGCAAAGGAATGGTGGCCCCAGGTGAGGTCAGGGATCAGAGAAAGGGTGGAGGAATGGGAAAGTGGTGTGTGTGTGTGAGGGGGGTGTCCTCCCAATGGAGGGCTTGTGACTCAGATCAACCCTCCCTCAGGATCTTTGGACAAGTGACCCCATCCCAGGACGGGCCAAGGTACTGAGCATAGTGTAGCAGTTGAGGACGGGAAGGAATGGGAAGGAGGGCAGGACCTGAGAAGCCCTCACCAGTGGTGCAGCACGTCGTTAATCAGGTAGATGAGGTGCAGCCGAAGCTCGAAGTGCGCACCGTCAGCTGTGATGCGGTTCCGGAGGTGGCCTGCCATCAGCTCGCAGTGTGGTGGGGACTTGGCGTTGCTAAACATCCAATTCTTCCCAGCCTGTAACAGCCAGGGCAACAGGTGAGTGGGGCTGGTGTCCAGGGAGGTCAGGGTACAGCTGAGGGAGTGGTGTCCAAGGGCTGGCCACTTGCTGCAGCCTCTGCCTGCCTTCTCTCTCCTTCTCAGAGGTGCTCAAGAGGGAAGGGCAAGGGAAGGTGGGGCGCCCCTCGAGCAGCCCCAGCCCAGACAGGCTGCAGCAGGCTCCCACCTGTCAGGAGCACCAGGTTCTGGGTGCACCTCGCCCACCCAATCCCACCTGCCCTCACCGAGATGGCATCTTTGGTACATGTGTCAATGATGGGCTGTAGCAGGTTGTCAAACTCGTTCATGTCCAGCTGGGTCTCCTCCAGGAGCTTCTGCATCTGTTGTTCCACTGCGTGGGCCACGGCAGCTGTCACCTGCTCCTGGGAGGCCAGGTGGGACCAAGACTGCCCATCAGTGCCTGCCCCCAGCATCAGGAGGCCCGTCCCTCACACCCAGAGCCCGAGAACCGCAGCCATGAATCTGGGGCAGCCATGGCCATGGCAGGCAGAGAACAGAGCAAGACAAGACACAGGGAGAGATGATGCCCCCACCCGTGACACAGAAAGATTAAGACCCAGAGTGGGAGCATTTTCTCAATCCGTTGAGATTTTTGCTTCCCGGCAATTGTCGTCAGTTTGGCTCAAATAAACTCTTACAAGATTTCAAAAAAAAACCCAAACAAAAAAAACCCAGAAGAATAAAAACTGCAAACAAATTCAACACACAAAGAAAAGTGAGCAACAATGTCAAGAAACAGTATGAAGAGGACATATAAATGGTCACTAGTCAGGAAAAGGGGAACAACCTCACTACAACCAAGAAATCAAAAATTAAAACAGGATCCCAGGGTCTCGCTCATTAGATTAGCAAACAGAGATGGCTGAGATCCAGCACTGCTGTAGGGACAGGTGGTCGGCTCAGGCTGGCTGAGGCCAGACTACCCAGCCTATGATGAGCTCCGTCCAGAAACAGGGTGAGTGATTTAGCATGTTTTGTTGTCAGCAATATGACAATATCTTATGTCTTAATCTAGTAATAAAACGGGTTGGTGTTTCAGATGTCTTATTCTTTATTCATCTCATTTTCCTGGCGATTCATCCTCTTGTATTTGGCCAAAGTATCAGACTGTGATGGATCAGGATAGAAGGGTCCTTCCCCACAACAGCTTGGGGTGACCTGGCTGGCAGTAGTCGGTGCCAATGGCACCAAAGACCACCTGGCATTCTCTGTTACACAATTTCTAACATGCAGCCCCACTTGTAGGCGCCCACCCCAGCTAAGAGCTTGTGTTATAATTTCAATGGAATGAGAAGCAACCTCTGTCCAGTGTCAGGGGTTGGGCTAGACATGCCACAGGCAGTGGCAGCAGTGGGATGATAGTGGCTGACATGCACTGAGCCGTGGGCAGCCCTGTGAGTCCCAATGTGCGGATGTAAAACCTCAGGCACAGAGGTGAGCTCCAGGTACCCACCTTAGGACAAGAGGGAGGGAGAAGGGCCCTGGGCCTACTCAGGGCACCTGTCTCAAGGCCGGTGGGTTGGGAAGGAAGAGGAGCAGGCCCTGTACCTGTCTGAGGGCCAGTAGGTGCTGTTCCTGCTGCTGCAGGTTCCACTGGCTCTGCTGGATGAGCTCGTCCATGGATGGGGCTCCCTGGGTTGGCGGGATGGGCGCAGCAGGGGCCAGTGGGGGCTGTGGCAGGGGTGGCAGGGCAGCGGCTGGCTCCAGCTCTGGTGCCTGCTGCTTGCAGATGACTGGCAGAGAGGAGAAAAGGGGGTACCGTGATAAGGTGGCCGGGGCCTAGGTGTCCCCTCAGCCTCTTAGGCAGCTCTAGGCCACAGGGCTCCCCTTCCTACACTCACCATCCACCAAAGGATCTCAGCGCTATGCTGCAGCCACCCCCACCGGAGTCTGCCTGGCTCCCTTTACTCTCAGGCTGGCCCTCCCGCCCTGACCCCATTCCCCCAACCTCTCAGGGTCCAGCCCCAGCTCCCTTCCCCATATCTATCTAAGGCTGTTTCCTTGGCCTGAACACTTTTCTCTCCGCTGTTTCCATCTGGCTGACACATTTACTCCCAGCTAGATATTGTTACTTGCAGAAAGCACTTCACAAACCCCAATCTTCCCCGGCTAGAAGCACACTATCCTTTCCTGGTTATGGCCCCCTTGGATTTCTGACCCTGCAGGGTCGGAAGGGTGAGTGGGCTCCCCTCGCAAGGGAGGCAGCTCTTGCCTCATGGTCACTCCAACCAAAGCACTGTCCTTCCCTGCCTGGTTATGCCATCAATATCCACCCGGTGCCTGAGTTTATGGATTCGGCCCCTTAACCCCATGGCCCACTCCTGCAGACTCAACCCACTGACCTAATTCAGACCTTACAGTCAAATGCCCCTTTCATTCTCCCATGGGCCTCACTGGTCCCAGCCTCCACTCCTGTTCCCTCCAGCCTGGCCACACTGGCTATATGAACCTGACTCATCTGTCCCTTGTTTCAGACTCTCTATGGTTGGCTTTACATTGCCTGTAGCAGGAGTTTTAAACTTGGAGTGCTAGGGCCAAGGAATCATGGCTCCAGAGACACATAAGCACATATAATATTTTGCCTGTAATTTCAGGCAACTGATCTCTCCACCCCCATCTCAAATCTAAATAGGCACAAGAATCCCTGGATCTAGGAAGAAAACCCAAACATTTCCCCTGGCATTTCCACTCCAGATTAAACCCTTCCCTCCTCTACACACGTTATATGCTCCAGCCATGCTGGGCCTCTCATGGCTTCTCTCATGGATACCTAAACATACCAGGCTTGTTCAAGCAACTGCACCTTTGCTGTTTCTTACAAACTTTTTATTGAACATCTGCTATGTACTACACATTAAGACACAATGACCCAAAACAAGGTCTGGAAGCTTCAGGGAGCCGGAAGTTCAGGAAGCATTCACCTTTCAATGCCCATCAACTTGGCAATCCCCTACTCATTAACAATACATTTAGAAGCTAGAATTCTAAGCAAGACAGATGTGGGTCCTGCCCTCAGGGACCTTACCACCTGGTGGTTATTTATCTATTATCTAAAGGTCAGCTGGGATTCCTAACCACATCTTGAACCCTTTTGAGGGCAGAGCCCAAATCCTGATGCCCAGCTCAGTGAACATCGACAAACATCTGCCAAGAACTAAAACCTAGAGGGGCAATTCTTTTTGATCTGAACTGCAGGCAGTTGAAATACGCAAAATCCTTGCTGATCCCATGGAGAGCCCACAAAGGGACTGGACAGGTGCCTGCCCAGAGGGTCCCACCCAGTCCAGCCTCTATCACTTCCTCCCTGGAAAACACTGAAGCAGTCTCTCTATTTCAGCTGACCTCAGTCATCACATCTGCAAAACAATAGAGGAATCCCTGATCCCCAGCCCAGGAGGGGGATCGATAACCTCTTTCTCCATTACAGTGGGACCTAGCAAATGCTTGCTGCAGGGCCCCGGGAGCAGCAGAAAAGATCATGAATTCCCAGCTGCCTCAGAGAAAGAGTATGCGACCTAAAAAGTGGTTTGTGGCAGAGGACTCACGCTGCTGCTGTTCCAGCGCCAGCTTGCACTTGTAATAACTGTAGAATTCACCTCCAAACAGAAACGAGAATTTCGGGTTGTCCTTTTGCTTCTCCATTGTCATCTTCTCAAACTCGGGCCCGTTGCGGGCCACGAACTGGGCCAGCTTGTCGATGACATTTCGAAGCTCCTGGTCTGGAGAACGGAGAAAAGGCCACGCGGAGCGTCAGCGAGGACGGCCCAAATTCGTGGGCCCTGGCGCCCCAGACCCCGTCTGCCAGGCCGGGGTCCCTAGCGGTGGGACCCGCAGAGGCCGCCCTTGTACGGGTCCCGATAGGGGCCATAAACGCGCCGGGAATACGGGGACCCGCGGGGGAGGCCGCAGGCGAACCCGGGAGGCCGAGCCCCGCCCCCTCCTAGGCCTGAAGACCCTTGGAGGCGGGGTGGGCCAAAAGGGGGTTTCGGGGAGAGAGAAACCGTCCCTAAACCCGGGTTAGGCCTCACCATCAGGCGGCAGCGGCATCTCCATGGCTCCGGCCGCCGGGAACGACCTCCGGCGCCTCACGATACCCCACCAGCGCCGTCTGCGGAAGCCGGCCGGAAGTGGCGTGAGGGAGCCGTTTACGGCGGGCCTCACGGGCTACTTCCGCCCGCCACTTACGGCCGTCGCCCGGAAACCCCGGAAATGAGGGTAGGAGGCGGGCGGGAAGAAGCCGCGCGAGGCCGAGCGCGCGGGAGGGGCTCGCATGCGCACACGCAGGAGTTTTTCGCGCATGCGCTGAGTGGGCCCTTGTCGCGCGCCGCCCCTGAACGGCTCGAATTGCGTGGACTGCCGTTATCCGCGACCAGGGCTCCTCGTAGACTCACGTTGCAGACCACGGGCCTGGCGGGCTACATTCTCCACGGGGCCAGGACCCTAGGGAGTTCTTACCCAGGTTGGGGCCTGTGTTTCCTCCTCGGGGGGCTACAGTGAGGAGACTGCCAGGTGAGGCGCGTCTGGGAGACTCCCAGCATGGCGAGGATGGAATTCGGCTTAGTGGGAGTAAAAAGATCCTCCCGCTTGGTTTCTTTAGCTCAACCCAACGTTTTGGTAAGGAAGACTTCGGGGCCAGTATCACCCACTCCTGCCAACCTCAGGCTGTGCCCCTTTGGGGCTTGCATAGCTTTCCTGCCATCCAAGCTGCTTGGAAGGAGCGCCCACAACCTTTCGTGCCAGGCCTGCTAGATCGCGCAACTTACCGAAAGGGGCAATCAATGACGTTACTTCCAAAAGGAGTGTCAATGTAAGAAACTTCCAAACCTGTAGGTAATTTTTGAGTTTGTTTGAGCCAACCTGTAAACAATTGCCAGGAAGCAAAGCCTCTCAAAGGATTGAGAAAATGCTCTGGACAATGGCAGTTTTGCACCTCATTTTATACTTTAGAATCAAAGGAGACATAAGGAGGGTTACATGAAATCCATTGGTGGTAGGTTAAGGGGAGAAAGCAAAATGGGAGAAAGCTTTGGGGTTGAATTAAAAAGGCAAAATAGAGAAACACATTTACATTGGTGAGTACAGGACAGTTAATACTTAACATTTACAGCACATAAAGATGGTAAGCCAGGAACAAAATAACAATGAGGGGTTCTGTGGTCTCTTGCTGTGGTGTGGTTGTTCCCTGAAGGATCTGGAAAAGATCACTGGCATTTCAAAGGTATGTTATCTTAGATGCAAAAAAGACAATAGACAGGCTCACTTAAGGTAAAGATTGACCTTCGTCAAGGAAGCTACAGGCGTAGGACGGGACTATCCACCAGACCCACTTTTAGTGAGGAATTTTTATGTTCAGACCACCCTATGTGGTTACTTTCGGTCTCTGAGTTCGGAAGACTTTCCATGTAAGCCTCCCCTGAGCTTGTCAGGTTTACTATGTGGCCCTTTTTTCATCTACAAGAACATGAAGTTAATGCATGCTAATTGTGGGGAAAGATAACAAGAAGGAGCAGATGATAGAGAAATACAGACTGGATGTCCCCTGTAACCTGACCCTCTTAAGGGTGCCATGGTTGACACTTGCTTGGCCATACCTCTCAATTTTTTTAATGTAAATTGATGTACATGTATTTTAGATAAACTTCCTTTTTACTGTTACAAAATTTCTCCTTCTGACTCTTAGAGATTGCCTGCTGTATGCCAGATATTGTTCTAGGCCAGGGGTTGGCAAACCTATTAAGGGCCAGATAGCAAATATTTTAGGTTCTGTGGGCAAAGAGGCAAAATCAAGGATATTGTGTAGGTACCTACATAACCCAAGAGAAAAATGTCCATAACATTTTTTATTGGTGGAAATCAAACTGTAATCATTGAGTAGTTTTTAAAATACAGGTCTAATGAGAAGAAGAATGCTTTGGGGAGGGTTCCAAGTTAGCCTTTCTTGCCATCAGTTGATTGCAAATGTATCTGGTTCACAAAAATGGGGCTGGATGTGGCTTCTGGGTGGAGCTCTGCTGTCATGAACCCAGCTTATGAGGTGGGAAGAGATCCATAAATCAGTAAACATATGACAAAGGTGTTATTAAGGAAAACAGAGTGCTGAGACCTTGATAAGGGAAGAGGGTGGCGCCTACACCAATAGGGTTACCTGGAAAGAGGAGGAGGTGAGGTTTGCATTGAGATCCCAGTCAGGAGCTATCCATGTGAACACTCCAGGCAGAGGGCACATTATGGGATTGTTTTATTTAGTAGGTTGCTCAGTAATCTCGAAAGTGGGGGCGTTTTTCCATCCCAGTTAAGATCTATATCAAGAAGTCTTTAACTTTTGATCTGCCATGGATGGACTTAAGAGATATAGCACAGTATCAGACATATATGCATTTTTGTGAGTTGGAAGATACCAAGCATTTATCAGTCTAACAGAATCTGACCAAAACAGGTTAATATATTTATATTCTTTTTAATGACTGCATGACTCTATGGTGTAGATTTACTGTACTTTATTGAAGCCAGACACTGTGGAGTCTCTTGGTCTGGTTCCATTTTTTGACCACTATTAAGTATCTTAGTATATGTAGATCTTGTGCTGGATCGAAGAGTGTGCACATTTAATACTTATGTTGCTCAACTGCCCCCCTAAAGATTGTAGACCCATGACCACTGCTTTCACATGTTCATTTTATAGTGCGTTTATCTGAGACTGAAAATTCAAGCATCACAGGGCCTCACTCAGGCTCATTTCAGTGTGCCAATCAGAATCCACTGGTCAAAAGAAAGCCGTCAAGTTGCTAGAAGTAAACGCTGTTACAGAGATGGGTCTCCAAGGACCTGGAAACAAGACTTAAGTAAACAGGGCCAGCCGAGTGGCACGTTGGTTAAGAGCTGGCTTGGGACGCCAGAGGGCCCCGGTTCGGATCCCACATATGAGGGCCAGTGACATTGCCCTCTACAGCTAAGATGCTAAACAGCTCAATCTGCAGCTGGGCTGCCATGAGTCACCAGCGACAGCTGTAGGCTGCAGCCCCTGCTGCAATGGGTTGCCATAGGCTACCGTGTGTAGCCAGCAGCCAGCATGAGCGGCCAGCAGCCGCCGTGAGCCAGAAGCCGGCGACTGATCTGCCTCACCCTGGAAGAGCGCAATGATGGTGCCAACTTGGGCCAGTGAAGCAACGTCCTCCACAACTAGGTCGAAGAACAAAAGGACAACAACTCGTCTGTTCCCCATCCCCCAATTCCCCAGCGCTGTTCCCATCCCCCAATTCCCCAATAAAAATCTTAAAAAAAAAAAAAAGACTTAAGTAAACAAGTAAACTGCACACCCCTGGATGAGATTAATTTGCTGAAGGAACCCACCTAAGAAGCAAAATAGAAGTTTAAAACCACATGCATACCTGCTTTGATCCTGCAGTTGTGCCCTGAAGACTATATCTCAAGTCAGAAGTGTGTGCTACATTGTGCACTGCAAACGTCCCATAAAATGGTATTTAAACATGCAGCAACATGGGTCGGTTCATTGTAGCACATCCATGTAATGGACCATTACAATACCATGTACACAGACATAAAATCAAGGGAGAATAATAACATGGGGAAATGATTCTGGCATATATTTTTAAAGCAGATTACAAAACTATATGCCAGTTTAAAAAAATGTGTATACATACTCCCCAAATGCAACTGCTCTGTTCAGTTTATATATCTTTTCAGAGATAAACTATTCACAAACATTTATATATCGATATATTTTGGAAATTGTTCCCTCTATACATAGATCTTTCTTTTGACAGTTTAGCTTTAACAGTTTTTTGCAAACTTAAAAAATATATGGACAATAAAAAGTAGGGACTGAGGAAATCTAGGCCCATCCAGACCTATAGTCTCAAAAAAGCCAGAACTTGGTTTGACTGTCACCTCATCTTCCACAGTAACTGAACCCTGTGTGGTCAACTAGCTGAAGCCACAGTGGGAGGAATGTGGGAATAGATGGTCCTGTCCTCATGCTGGAGCACGGAGCATTTCTTGGGTCTGATGATGTCACCAACCAAACCTCTGGTCACACCAGAGTTGCCCTGAGACAAATAGGAGTATTCCAGTCTGGGAGAGGACATTCCTAAGTAGGAGTTCAGACTGGTGTCTGAACAATGGGGTCAGCCCTAAACCTGGCCCTGACAAGGTGACGATTCCATCCCAGGTCAGAGCCACTCAAGGCCTTTGGAACTACAGCAGCAGGCTGCAAAGCCACTTGGGTCATCCAGACACGTGGGCTCCCTCAGGGTCTTACTGTAGTAGTGTGGCCAGGCAGCAGAAATGAAAGGATACACCTTTGATTGCACAAACTCCTCTTAGGGGTACATGACAGGGGAAGCAAAATAAAACTGCACTATTGTGGCTGCTCTGCTGGCCAGAGGGCCCTGGGCTTGGAGTCAGACTGTGCTCCCTGCCTGCTTCATGGGCCAGGCCGACTTCCTGTTTCCATTTCCCTCTGTAAAATGGGGCTAATCTTGTCCACTTGGGTTCTGATGATTAAAGGAGACATAATACAAAATGTGCAAAAAACACCCTGTGAATTGTAAATGCAAGTCAAAACATTCCCATATGCCCATTAACCACCATGTACTTTCCTTAGCATTTTTTTTTTAATATTTTTTTTTATTGGGGAATTGGGGGATGGGAACAGCGCTGGGGAATTGGGGGAAGGGGAACAGAGAAGTTGCTGTCCTTTTGTTCTTCAGTCTAGTTGTGGAGGACATTGCTTCACTGGCCCAAGTTGGCACTATCATTGCGCTCTTCTCTGGCGAGGCAGATCA